CGCATGGCTTGTACGATGTCGCAAATGCCGTACACATCTCGTCCCATTTGGAGCCATCGCTGAAAATCTCCTGATTCACCTCTATCGCCAAGTCAATCGATAATGATAATATGTACGCCACAATGTTATCATATTCACCCTATGATGGAAATGGGTCGGAAGCTGAAGGGATCGATGGAGCTTTCGCATGATAGGTATGCGACCATATCTTGCTCCGAGCATCCCGTCGCAATCGATACTGATGGTTTATCGATCTGGAGTTTGTCAATATCGATTATTTCGTGCAATATGATCAACCGCGATATTTACCCTGCATTTTCCATCAATCATCCTTGCGTAATCATTCATTGCAGCAAAGGAATAAGTCAAAGCATCGTCACCACAAGAGTCGCGTACCTTAAATTATTTTATCTAGGAAAAAAAAGGAACTTATTCAAGGAGGGAAGGATGCGTACCTGTTTCGCTATGCAATTTGCAGCATTTTGTAAGGATGAGCAACGGCTTCCTGGGGTTGACGACATGAATTCCGAAGTGCATGAGGTTCCCTGAGGAATGGATCTTCGAAACCAATATAACAGAAGAATTTTGAATTTTGGGGGAAAATTTGCGGAAAATGCTCAAATAAGTGCCGATATTTTTCATAAAATATTTTCGTGAATTTTGTTCTACATTTTCTAGTAAATTAAACAGAGATACCTGCTGACTGGTGGCAACAGTTTTCAAGCAGATCTTATAGTGGTCATATGCCTGCCTTGAAGCACACAACTGCTCAATCATCTTCTTCAAAGCCGTTTGTTCGGGGGTGGAGCATATCCTTGTGGATATCGAACAACCATCCATGATCGACACATCCGCACATACCTGACATATTGGGGAATTAAAGAAGTTTTTCAAATTTAAAACTTGCGCCTTTCTTGGCTTACCTGGTCCATATTGTCCATTTCATTGATGAGAGTTATCGGTAGCATACGGTATCGACTGTAGAACGGTTGAGTGCATTGGTCAAAGGACTGCCTCTTCTCCGGAGTACATGTGGGAAGCTGTGGCT